AAAGAATCAAAGATCGATCAGAGTCGAAAATGACGAACAACATCTTCCAAAGTCGAAAATTCTCAGGACTCTGTGTTCTCTCAATCTTGCTTGTATCAGTCACAATCCTCCTCTTAACAAACGATACAATCGATCTCTTCCCTTACTTGTCTCTCTCTTATCTCCGTCGATCTTCTCTCTCCGATGTCCCTACTTTCACGAGTCCCACCAACGACTCTTCTTCACCACCGCCGGTGACTCAAACCGGAGACGTCAATGTTCCGGTTCCGACTCCGATGATCGATCAAGATTTGGAATTGGATTGGCGTAAAGACGACAGAGAATGGAATAAGAGTTTGCAAGTTGATTGGAAAAGATGTGAGAGTCAAGATTACATGCCGTGTTTGGATAACACAAAAGCTATCAAGAAACTCAAGTCTAAGAGAAACATGGAACATAGAGAGAGACATTGCCCTGAACCAGCACCTAAATGTCTTGTTCCTTTACCAAAACGCTACAAGATTCCTCTGCCTTGGCCTCAGAGCAGAGACATGGTGAGAGAAAGAAAAAAATCAGGTTTTTCTTGGTTCTTGTTTTGTTGATTAGGTTAGTTAGTTTAGTTACATGTGATTGAAAGATATGTGATTGTTCTGCTTTCTAAATGTAGATTTGGTATGATAATGCTCCTCACCCTAAGCTAGTAGAATACAAGAAAGATCAGAATTGGATTCGTAAATCGGGACCGTTCTTCGTCTTCCCTGGAGGTGGTACTCAGTTCAAAGACGGTGTTATTCACTACATCAACTTCATACAAAAGGTATACACAAACCAAAATCAATCTTATCATTGATTTGATTCGTCTGTTTTTGATTATACGGTTCTTTTTCATTACAGACTTTACCGGTTCTTGAGTGGGGGAAGAAAGTAAGAGTGGTACTAGATGTTGGTTGTGGTGTAGCTAGCTTTGGTGGGACTTTACTTGATAAAAATGTGATCACAATGTCATTTGCTCCTAAAGACGAACACGAAGCTCAGATTCAATTCGCTTTAGAACGAGGCATTCCCGCTACTCTCGCTGTTATTGGAACTCAAAAGCTTCCTTTTCCTGATAATGCTTACGATGTTATCCATTGCGCTAGATGCAGAGTCCATTGGCATGGATACGGTACGATTTATAATCGATTCGGTTTATGATTGAATTCAGAAAAGTTCCATGCTTATGGAAAATGTGTTGTTGTTGTAGGTGGTAGACCGCTACTGGAACTTAACCGGATTCTAAGGCCTGGAGGGTATTTTGTTTGGTCAGCTACACCGGTTTATCAACACGATGAAGGGCACCGTAATGTTTGGAAGAGTAAGCCTGAATTGTTGTTTAGTTTCTTTCTCTTGTGATTAGCATATATAGAAGAAACTTATGAATGTGTTTGCTCTCTTGTAGCAATGGAGTCTTTGACTACATCAATGTGTTGGAAAGTTGTGGCTAGAACTCGATTCACAAAAGTTGGATTCGTGATTTACCAGAAACCAAACTCAGATTCTTGCTATGAATCCCGTAAGAACCAAGATCCACCTCTCTGTAATGAAGAAGAAACAAAGAAAAACAGTTCATGGTAAAATGACATTTTATTATCCTTTTTGTTTCATTTCAACAAAAAACAAAAACAGAGTTTTGATGTCTCTGACTAGTTAGTACTGGTTTTTTGAATTCATAGGTACACTCCTTTGCTTACTTGTCTACCGAAAGTACCGGTCCGTTCAACTGGAAAATGGCCTTCTCTTTGGCCCGAAAGGTTAACCGATACACCGGTTAGTCTCATAACAGAACAGAGCAGTGAAGAGAGTTTCAGAGAAGACACAAGACTCTGGTCTGGAACCATTTCAGATATTTACCTAAACGGTTCAGCTATAAACTGGACCAAGATTCACAATGTTATGGACATGAATGCTGGTTATGGAGGGTGAGAGAATCTTTCAATATACATACTTCACAAAAGACTCATTTCTCTTGCTTACTCTTGTTCATGTATAATTTGCTTTCAGATTTGCGGCTGCTCTAATAAACAGACCACTCTGGGTGATGAATGTGATTCCTGTGCAAGGTGAAGACACGTTACCGATGATTTTCGATAGAGGTTTAATCGGGATTTACCACGATTGGTGTGAGTCTTTCAACACGTATCCAAGATCATATGATCTCTTGCACTCTAGTTTCCTTCTCACCAATCTTTCTCAAAGGTAAAAGATTTATGATTCTTCGACTATCTACAGACAAAATTAGACAGATGTTTGTTTTAAAACATTTCGGATTTCGCAGGTGTTATTTGATGGAGGTGGTAGTGGAAATAGACAGGATAGTAAGACCAGGAGGGTATCTTGTGGTGCAAGATACCGTCGAAATGCTAAAGAAACTTAACCCTATTCTCTTATCTCTCCGATGGTCAACGAATGTGTACAGAGGCAAATTCCTTGTTGGCTTGAAGTCTTCGTGGCGTCCATAAACACACAATGTTTCATCCTCTCTAACAAAAGGATTAGAGGGGTTTTGATTAGAGATGATGCTCAATGGTTTTTTTGGTGCGGAATTTTCTGGTATAGGAAACAAATTGTACTCGAAACTATTTTGATAATTGTTGTCTTAACTAAAAGATTTTAAAGAATTGAGAATCGAATGTCAATTTTCCTTTCTTCCATTTGGTTCAGCGTTACTTTTGTTTTGTTTATGAGATATATACAAGAAAATTTGAATTCACAGTTGTTTCTCTAATAGGCCTGAATTATAAAATGGGCTTTTCGATGAGCCTACCAAGAGGACAAAACCGAAAAAACACATTCTGTCTCTTAAAGCTGTCAAAAGCCCTAGTAAAACCCTAGCTTCGAAACCCCTTATTTCGTTGAGCCGTTATATAAAAGGTTTCACTCGCTCTAGCTAAATCCTACGGACTCGTTGAGAAGACGATTGTTTTCAGGAAAGGTACTTCATTTCGATGAACCCATTTCATGTTCTTGATGATTTTTGCTTCGCCTTGATCCTCTTATGGTTTCCCTGTTTACGTTTTTATCGCTTAAAAGCACATATCGAAGGCTTGCAGATAACGTATTATTAAATCGCCTGCGAGCTCAATATTTGTGCGAAATCCTAAAATTCATCCATTGAGATTCAATAAAAATCTCTGTGTTATAAGAATTTATCTTTTCTTATCGACAATTTCGATGGGTGGGACATTTCTTCCTCGATTTTATTGTGATTTTAAACATTTGATTGAGAATTTGAATGGATCAGTTCAGAATAATTGAATCCCTATTCGTTTTGCATTGAATCAGACAGTAGGAGCACTTGGTTACATCTTGTTTGTCTTCATAAAGTGATAAAATTTCACATTTTTTGTTGTTAGTAACAGTTTGGTACTCTGCGTTGCGTCTATGTTACAGCTAAAGAAGAATTGATCTTTGTATCTTAAGAACCTGTGACTTAGGATTAAGACTGGTCTTCATAGTGGGTTTAGATTTATACATGAGATACTGAATCATAGCTTTGTTATTGGCAGGATTTATAGATTTAGTGAAACTTGAGGAAAATGGCAAACCCGAAGGTCTTCTTTGACATCTTGATTGGAAAAATGAAGGCGGGTCGTGTTGTAATGGAGCTATTTGCGGATGTAACACCGAGAACAGCGGATAATTTCCGTGCTCTGTGTACTGGAGAGAGGGGACTTGGGAAAGCAGGAAAGGCATTGCACTACAAAGGCTCAGCCTTTCACCGTATAATCCCGGGATTCATGTGCCAAGGTGGAGATTTCACTCGCGGGAATGGAACTGGAGGAGAATCGATCTACGGGACTAAATTTGAGGACGAGAATTTCAAGTTGAAGCATACTGGTCCAGGGATTTTGTCTATGGCTAATTCAGGTCCCAACACAAATGGTTCTCAGTTTTTCATCTGCACAGCCAAGACATCGTGGCTCGACGGGAAACACGTGGTGTTTGGGAAAGTTGTTGATGGGTACGATATCGTGAAAAAGATGGAGAATGTTGGATCTGACATGGGAACTACATCTGAACCAGTTGTGATTGAAGATTGCGGTGAGCTCAAGAGCGAATGTTCATAAGTTTTAAACGAATTGGGTTGATCTTGACGGATTCTGCCATGTGTTGTGAAGGTGAGACAACATCAGAGATCGTTGAGTTTCAATCTAAACTGTGATGCAATATACTACTTCTTAGGTTTTGACAATATATCATATAAAGCTTAAGTAGTGATGTATCCTTGTTACATGTTTTCTTTAAAACTTCATGGAGTAGAGTAGTATGGATGGTAATAATATGGTAAATTTCTCGATGGAGATATTTTGGTTTGGTTTTCCAATTTATGATGGATTTGTTTCATGTTTTGGTTTTGCATAAACCAAACTTTCTTTGGATTCAGATGCGAATTTGTATTCAAAATCATAATTGCAGACTTTTTCGAAATGGGATAAGTTTCGATGAGTGTAGATGTCTTTTGAAAGAAATTTGGTGTGTATTAAAAAAAAATTGTGATAAGTTTACCATACATATATAAACTCGACTCATATTTTACCATATTTATTGTTGCATACTGCAGACCCGAATTAGAATGATGAATTTGCTCTTGGGACACAATTTATATATGAGTCGAGTTTATATATGTATGGTAAACTTATCACAATTTTTTTTAATACACACCAAATTTCTTTCAAAAGACATCTATTCTTAAGAACAAAGATCAATTCTTCTTTAGCTGTAACATAGACGCAACGCAGAGTACCAAACTGTTACTAACAACAAAAAATGTGAAATTTTATCACTTTATGAAGACAAAACAAGATGGGCACTGAATTTTTTTTTTGTTTCCAAACATGTGCCTGTAAAGCGGTGATACTTGGCTCACTAACCAATTTAGCATTATTTTCCTCCCTTAACCTTTGTGATAACCATTAATCTGTATATCTGCCCGATTTTGTAAAATACCAAAATAAACTATCCATAGATCCCAAAAATATCACTTCCCAAAAATATATGTCAGGAATCCAAGGATCCTCCCCCACCGTTGTACAATGCATGGATCCGATTTTCACCGTACTACCTTGATACGATAAATCTTTTGTCAACAATATACTCTTCCAACCAAAATATTAAAAATGTGGCTTTTTAGCATGTAATGGATGTGTAGAAACCTCAAATACCTCCCCTTAATTATGGAAATTTCAACTATATTTATTAATAGCACATAAATAAATATATGTTTATAACTCATTTTAAAAATATCACACTATATAAGTAATAATTGATTACTAAGTATGTGGTTTATTATTCAAGTAAAACTAACTAAATGACGACATATGGACGATTATGTGAATGCATAAGAAGAGAAAAAACTAACTTTATACCATTAATTATATTTTTTTTGTTGACAAAATATACGAAACTGAACCCTTATAATGTTTAGCCGCATATTTGTCTTGTTTGTGTTTTGTTGGCATGGCTTATTAGAAATCATTTAAAGGTAGTCCTACTTCACCGTAAAAGATATAATTCACTGGTGTTTAGGATTTTCTCATTCTCATCGGTCTAAAAGAGTTGGGAAGGTTATTAGGCGAAGGTTACTTAGCTAGAATTCGGTTTAGCCTCTGGTTTTGTATCTTTTCAAGTGATGAACAGACAAATCCGTATTTTATTGACGATTGCAGTTTGAAATGGTATAAAGAGCCGCCATGCCCACCCCTACCTATCTACATCCTAACTAACCCACACCCAAAACGTTTAAAAATAGTCCATGTGTTGTCTTATGTGTTTCATTATGGATTTTAGAGTCAAAAACTATTTGAATATAATGCTTTTTTCAATCATTTTTCGCTTGTTCATTTGATTTGGACATGTTCGAATTCGGTTTTTCGGTTTCAAACCGAAACCAAAACCGAACCATTAGGATTTTGGTCTATTATGGATCTCTATATTGTGATATCAAACCGAACCGAGACCGAACCATAACAATTTCGGTTTTATATGGACTCATTTTATCTACAACCAAAAAACCGAACCGAAACCGAACCGCAAAACCGAATGCCCACCCCTAGCAAAGATACTAAGGGAGCAAGATGAAGCGATGACGATTTTGTTGTTCTTCCCGGATGAGTTGCAAAAGGAGAAGGACGAGTGCAAAGTGTTATCACCAAGATGCGAAAGATCGTTAGCTATAGAAGCCTTTCACAGGAAGTCCAAGACCGAGTTGTCAATGGTGTAGAACTCCAAACCCAATATCACATTCTCTCCCTGCAAATGTGAGAGTGATTTGTGGATCAAGACCACGAAGTTTGCTTTTCTTTGTTTTTGGTCTTATTTTATCATGCATGATGATGTATTAAGAGAAAATTGATTCTCTTGTGTGTTTCATGCCTGGAGTGAACTACTGCAATGTTTCTCAAGGCAATGGGAAGTTACATACAAGTCGAAAAACAAAAGAGCTTGCAACGGCCTTAAACAAAGGTTTGTTGGGATGATTTTCTGACTACTTTAGTCTTGGTGTTGAGTTAGACAACTAAAGTCATTCTTGGTGTTGAGTTAGACAACTAAAGTCATACTAGTAGATAATGATTTTTTTTTTAAAAGCTTGCATTGTATTGTAAAGTTGTGTATACGTAAATAATGGATGGGCCATATAATTTGTAAACCTTTGATCGCTAACCAAAAACTGATTCAAGGCTCATCAATCTTTTCTCTTCTCAAACATCTCGCTGATCACGAACCGACCACCAACTGATCCATAGAAAGATTCTCTCTCTCTTTTGTCTTTCATCTCTTCATATGATATGTTTCTTTTGTTTAAGTACTGATTTGGTTTTTCAAAATGCAAATCTGATTAAACCATTTGCCAAAAACCAAACAGGAATCCTTATAAGTAAATCACATAGAAGAAGAACCAGAGAAGTTTCTCTTCAGCTGAGTAACACCAAGAAGCAGAGAGATAAGAGTAGTCAGAGATACATAACACTAATATCAAGTTGAACTAAGAAAAACACTAATATCAAGTTGGGGTCATTGATCACAACCTCATGAGAACAAAGCCGAGGATAACGCTTGGGGCCATTCGAAAGTACCCGTTGAAACCATACTCCAACCCATAAATGTCTTGGGCTTCGATGAAGACCTGATTGTTTTCTCCTTACCAGCCTTAACCACCAGAAGATAATGATAATTGCTTATCGCGAGGTTTCCCTCCAGAGTTTCGTATATCTGGCGAGTGTCAATCTGGTGGCCAGTGTACATGGGGATAATCACGGTCACCGGAGTTCCTTGGAAAGAAGCACGCGAAGATACGACTCGAATTCTCGACGAGTTGGGAATTAAGTAGCTTCGCCCACATCGTAATGACGAACAACTTGACAAGGAGGATGTCCCCAAAGTTCCCACTGCAAAACTCAAAACTCAAAGTTAACTTTGTCTCAAAATTCAGAGTTTCAAACACATACCTAGTGGCGATACCAAACTCAAAGTTTCGAACACATACATGGTAGCGATACCGAACCTGTGCAGCGAACCGATCAAACTCTTCCACGACGAAGTTAGATATCAACTCCGCTTGGAGTCCATGTCTCCTGAAGAAAACACCAAGGGGTTTATTGGGATTTGCGATGTGAGAACTTTATTAGATTTGAAAGTCTTTACAGTAAAAATTTAACCAATTAGACTTGATCCTCTTCTCTTTTCTCTATAGTCCAACTGCCGACTGTATTGTTTTTGTTCTTCAAAATTTTGCTTTTTTTAAAGTCACACAAATGAGACTTTGCACACGGCTGTAGTATTAATAAATCTGAGACCATAAAAAACTTTTTTATTTTCTTTTCCAACATGATTGAAACCCATCTCTTTGTTATATATCATTAAATTTTTTGCTTGATTGATCAATAACCTTTTTTCCTCTTCTGTTTGAGATCCATTTTGATACCATTTATTTTACATTGATTTTGGTTCCATTGTGAAATTTCATAGTTTATATGTCTTTATCGATATTTCTTTTATTTTTATCAATACCTCTTTTATTTATATGTTGACTTATAAAAAAACTATCAACATATAGTTTTTTGTGCGGATTTTGTTCGCTATGCCAATATCCGAATTCAAATTCTGCAGAACTTACATTTTTGAATTTATTTTATAATAGTTATAGTAACACTCATAGTATCTACAATTTTTATTACCAATCAGATTTTGTTGTTATTAAAAAGTAACTGCCACAGTTCTAACATTCATTTTCTCTAAAACTGTTACTAATCGGCCCCCAAGATCTCTCGCACCTTGAAGTCCGTTCCTCAACGCACCAGTATCTTAAGCCCAATATATTTAATGGGCTAATAAACTAGTATAATTGAATTGTTGTTCGACTTTTGTTATGTGATGATGTCATCTACGACTGAGATCGATTCGATCCMAAAAAAAAAAAATGACCCGAAAAATAGTATGGCCGCATATTGTCTTGTTTGTGTTTTGTTGGCATGTGGCTTATTAGAAATCATTTGAAGGTAGTCCTACTTCACCGTAAAAGATATAATTCACTGGTGTTTAGGATTTTCTCATTCTCATCGGTCTAAAGGAGATGGAAAAGGTTATAAGGCGAAGGTTACTTAGAATTCAGTTTAGCCTCTGGCTTTGTATCTTTTCAAGTGATGAACAGAAAAATCTGTATAGTGAATTTACATTTCTTGATGATTGCAGGTGAAAATGGTATAAAGAGCCGCCATGCCCAAGATCGTATTTGGTTAGACAATCATAAATTCTTTTGAAAATTCACATCTAAGAGAAAATATCTCTCTTTTTGGAACAACTACCTTCTTTCAAAATTATGATTGCTCTCAACACAATTAGACTAGAGTATATACATTTTCTATTTCAGATTATATTTTAGTTTTATCACATATAATGGTCACAATTAACTAAAAGAAAAAACAATGATAGATTTTCTTATATTAGCTAGGGATCACGTGAAGTCTCTTTCACTCTTGTTCATTAAGCAAAACAATGATTTTGGATCTGGCTAACTGCAGAAAAAGAGTATATAATTCAGAG